ACATACCTCTGGATCTGCTTCCATTGCACACTAGGCCTGAATAGATCCCTACAACTGCATCCAGAAACTCAGTGAAGATCCCACATCCAGAGAGGGTCCCAACTCCCAGTAGATCCCAACCCTGCACCTGATAACATCTGATAGGCTTCCAGCTCAGCCCCAGGACACTGTGACTGTATCCAGCAGCCTGACCCAGCACGCTCTGAGCCGGTCCCAACACCGAACACACAGCCAGGCATCATCCGCACCCCATCCTCCCCACTCCCGCCCCCGCGCCCCGTCCAGGTCCGGGAATCCATCTTCAGTTGAGTTCATCCTGTCCTGAGAGGCTTCCCAGGTTCCAAGGCTTTTTCTGGGGAAATCTGTGGTCATCCTCCAGATGTCTGGGAGAAGCGGCTAGGAGGCCAGGCCCGCGCCCTTTGCGGGGGAGGGCCAGGGACCCAGCTTAAGGAGTGGGCTTCAGCGGCTGCCTGCGGGTGGGTGGGCTGGGAGTGGACTCGCCAGCCGCCCCCTTCCGGCGCTGGGAGGAAAACGTGCCCCCTGGCGAGGCCCCCAAACAGCCCGCGGGGCGCTGGGCGCGGGGCTGGGAAATCCGGCTCCCGCCCTTGAAGCGGCCCCAGGTCGGGCGGGGGGCGGGGGAGGGCCGCTGGCACCGCGGCCGCCCAGCAACGTGACCGCGCGGCCCGACTGCGGGCTCAGGTCCCCACCGGGACAAGGCGGCTGCTGTGCCGACGCAGCTGATCCTAAATCCCTTCCGGCTGACAGCCCGCGCCGGCGGGGGCCAGGCGGCGTGGGAACCGGGTCGAGGGGGGCCGGGGGGCAGGTGGGCGCGCGGGGAGCGGAGCCCAGTGGCGAGCGCCCCGCTGGAAACCGTCTGCTCAGTACCGGGTATTTCACTCCCCACCCCGGGTAGCAAGAGTTACCACGATACCCAGACAGGGACACTGACGGGGGCATCACTAGATCATAGTCCCACAGCCTATTTCTTGGTTAAAACCAGGGGTCTTAATTAGGCCCCGTGATAAACTACATACATTATGGAGAGCTGGGAGGCATCATGGTCCCCATTTTATAAATGAGGGAAATGAGGCTCAAAACAGTTGAAGCCACCGGTCCAAGGTTCCCAGACAGCTGGGATGAGGCTGGAACAGGAGCCACCTCTGCTGATTCAACACAGGACACCATGTGCATGCAAGTTTTGGGCTGGACCCCCTGGCCACCAGGTAGTCATGGAACATCCCATGGGGTGTAAACCACCGGGTCCATCTGGTCAAGGAGTTGTGTTTCTGGGTTCTTGAGTGTGATGGATCCAGTGAAGACGTGGAGTTAATCTTGGAGTGGACAGATGTGGGGCTGAAAGGGGGAGACAGAGAAAGGGAGACAGGTGTGGGGGGTGGAGAGGAGCTTGGAGAGAAATGAACCAGGAGAATGGCTGCTGGGAGCCCCCTCTGCCTTTAACAGCTGGGGGCACAGATGGAGTCTGAGAGGCTGGAGAAAGGGGTCATGGAGGGGTGATGCTCTAGAACCAACCTCACCCGGGCCTCTGGGAACAGGGTGGGGATTGTCTTGTGAATTCTCTGGAATTAAAACCTGGCGTCTTCTCTGGGCCAAGGGAGCCTGACTGGGCTCTGGGCTCTGTTCAGCCCTTGTTGTCTCCCAGGACTGGGGCAGCTCAGGACTTTTCTCCCTTTCCCTAACTGATATTTGATCTAGACAAGCATTGTGGGGGCTGGGGCTCAGGGGGAGGGAAGGTGGCAGGGCTGGGGGGTGGGCGTCTGCCCAGTGTGCAAGTGAGTCTCCCGGTGTGAATGTGCCTGTGTGTGCCTGTGCACGGGTTGCATACCTCTGTGTGTGCCTCTGAGAATGGGTCTACGTGTCTGGCGGGTGGGCATATTGTTTCGGTGTCTGTTGTTTGTGTCTGGATCCTTTTGTCTCATCTGGATGTGTGTTATCTTTCTGGATCTACATGTTTGTGGCTTTACTGATATCTGTGAGTCTTTCTGTGTGGGCCTCCCTCCAGGCCCACCCCATTAGGCCCTGAATGCCACTTTGCTGCCTGAGTGTCGGAGGAATGTGGGGGGTAAGGGGAGCACATGTCCTGGCCTACAGGCCTGCCGGGGATGGAAAACTACTGAGGCCTCCTGGGGATGGGCAGGCCAAGCCGGCCCAGAGCCAGGTTCAGCTGCTTTTGCCCTTCCAGGCTCCTCCCCTCCTTTCTCTGCAGGGCTGGGGACCTGCTGAGATGGGTCCTGTGTTAAGCAGGGAGCACTGCCTCCCTTCCACCACTCCCCAGATGGCTAGCCTGGCCTCCCTCTGCCCTTCTCTGGGCCTAAGCATCCCTTGGAGTGGGGGAGGGGGGAGGGAGCAGGGGTGGGATTATTTTTCTCTGAAGCCCTTCCCAGCTCTGACATTCTCTCCATTGTGTGAATGTTAAAGGGATTTAAAGAGCTCAGCTTCACGCCATTTCAGGGACCATGAATGCATAGGGCCTCAGACTGTTAGAGCAAGGTGGGTTCCCAAGGGTGGTCTTATCTCATCCCCGCAATCTTTTATTTATTTGTTTTTGACTGTGCTGGGTCTCAGTTGCTGCAAGGGCTTTTCTCTAATTGCACCTAGTGGGAGCTACTCTTTAGTTGCAGTGCATGAGAATATTCTGAATATGCTGAATAAGAATATTCTGGTGGCTTCTTTTGTTGCAGAGCACAGGCTATAGGCAAGAGGGCTTCCATAGTTGTGGCACTTGGTCTCAGTAGTTGTAGCTCCCAGACTCTAGAGCATGGGCTCAATAGCTTAGTTGCTGGAAGGCATGTGGGATCTTCCAGGACCAGGGATCGAACCCCTGTCTGCTGCACTGGCAGGCATAGTTTACCACTGAGCCACCAGGGAACCCCCCACCCCCACCTCGCCAACACCCCCACAATCTTATTTATGGGAAAAGTGAGGCATGGTGTGAGGTCCCCAGAAACCCCACTTAGCTTCTGGAATGGCAAGGATCAACCTTTCAGGTCCCCTGTCTCTCAGTTGCTGGCCAGTCCCCCATTGTAGCTGCTTTTCAACATGACCTGCTTAGCATGGAGGGAGAAGCTTTTGCGATGGCCTTGAAGGATGGGGGGGCTTTGATGTTCGGAGATGGAGTCAAGCCAGACCAACACTCGGTGGCAAAAAGACATGAGTTGAAACGTGGAAGTGGACAGGTAAGGAGGGCAGTCAGGATGGACAGTTAGGAAGCACCAGTTGGGCACGGTAGGTGACAGTACTGAAAAAGGTGTGTCTGAGGGTCCCCAAAGGCACGTGGACTTTATCTTCTAGGTATTTCTGGCAGAAGAGGTCAGTTAGCAGTGTAGCAGAGTGGTTAAAGGCAGTCAGATCAGACTCTGTATCTAAATCCCAGTTCCAAGGCTTGTAAGGTGTATAGTTAACTATACCACCGTGAGTGGGTTACTTCAACTCTATATACCTGACTTTCCTCATCTTTGAAATGGAGATAACAACAGCAGGTATTTTCCTCAGGCAGTTGTTGTGAGGAATACATGAATAAATGAGAATACCGGAAAGCCCTCAGTGTCTGACACAGACTAAACACTCAGTAATAGCTAAAATGACACTAATGACATAACCTGCATTTGGGGCCAGGCTGGAGGGAAAGAGAGTGAAGGCATGGAGACCAGTGGGACATCCAGGGGTGTCCTGCAGAGGAGAGCTATGGAGGTCCACGGTGATGTTTTCTGAATGAGCGAGGGACCCAGGTGGAGTGCTCAGAGGGTCCGGGCTGTTGCAGGAAGGTGTGCAGAACGCTCACATGGAGAGCTGTGGGGTGTGGGCGAGCCGTCGAGGATGGCTTCACTGTTGTGGGAGTGGTGGTGGGGCCTTCATCAGGGCTTGGGAGGAGGGTGGGTTGGAGAAGTACTTACGAGGTGAGCTGACCAAGACCTGGGGACAACTCTGTGGCCAGGGAGGAGGAGAGGCAGAGTCCAGGCTGTGCATTTGTGGTTCTAACCGAGTGGCCAGCACCTGGGAAGCTATTTTCAGAGTGGACGATGGAGGAGGTTCATGAGATGTGGGTGGGGACGGAGGAAAGAAGGGGCCCAGCTGTGTGGAGGGTGAGGTGGGCCCCATGGGGGTTTGCTATCAGACCTGGAGCTCAGGGGCCAGGTTTGGGCTGGAGATGGTGTGGAGGCTGCTTGATAGGCCCATGGTGTGGGTGAGGTCATCCCAGGGAGGCCAGAGATAGAGAGGGGGGCCTCGGATCGCAGCGGACCCCTGGGAGAAGCAGCAACCAGAGGGATGAGGAAACTGAGGCGAGCTGTAGGCAGAGAGGGCGAGGGAGGACTGTGCTTCAAGGAGGAGGGCAGATCAAGAGAGCCCCATGCTGGGGGACTTCGCAGGTGTTTGGGGAGAGGGAGAGAGAGATTGAGGCTTGGAGGCCATTGGTTTTGGCCGTGAGGAGGCCACCATCACCAGAGAATAGGGGGCGAAACCCAAGCTACAAGGGAGGTGAGGGATTAACGAGGCAGGTGTCATCCTGCCTGGAAGCTTGTTTGAGGAGAAGAGGGAGCCATGTGACCAGGCAACCAGACCAGGAAGGCCCTGAGCCTCTGGGTGAAAGGGGCAGGGGGTCGTCCCTATGTTTCAGTTGGAGGAACTGAGGCTTCCGGGGCTTAAGAGACTTGTATAAACCCACAGTAACTTAATGTAGAAGATAGCCCAAATCCTTGACTCTTCATAAAGCAATTTTTAAAAATGGGCAATTGAAATAGTATAATACACACATCCCTGGAGCAGGAAATGGCAACCCACCCCAGTATCCTTGCCAGGGAAATCCCATGAACAGAGGAGCCCAGTGGGCTACAGTCCATGGGGTCGCGAAAGAACTGGACACAACTTACCAACTAAACAACAACACACACACACACTTGTTTTGGTCACAAAAATAAAATATGCTTATTGGATAAACCTAGAAACACATGCACAAAAGTACAAGGGGAAAATACAAAGCTTACCTGTAATTCCACGACCTAGAGAGAAGCATTTTTACCATTGCGTATTATCACCGTCTGGGCTTCCCTGGTAGCTCAGTAGCTAGAGAATCCACCTGCAATGCAGGAGACCCCAGTTTGATTCCCGGGTCAGGAAGATCCCCTGGAGAAGGGATAGGCTGCCCGCTCCAGGAACCCTGGGCTTCCCTGGTGGCTCAGATGGTAAAAAATCCGCCTGCAGTGCAGGAGACCTGGGTTCGATTCCTGGATTGGGAAGATCCCCTAGAGGAAGACATGGCAACCCACACCAGTATTCTTCCCTGGAGAATCCCCATGGACCAAGGAGCCTGGTGGGCTACAGTCCGTGGGGTCACAGGAGTCAGATACGACTGAGCACAGCACAGCATGTTATGACTGTCTACTTTTTCCCTTTGGTGATACACAAAAATAGACATGGGGATCAGGTACTTACTGTTTTGTAGATCACTTGATTCATTTTTTTTGCCTTTTCATACTGTTCATGGGGTTCTCAAGGCAAGAATACTGAAGTGGTTTGCCATTCCCTTCTCCAGTAGACCACGCCTTGTCAGAACTCTCCACTATGGCCCATCCCTCTTGGGTGGCCCTATACAGCATGGCTCGTAGTTTCATTGAGTGCAGATGACACCACACTTATGGCAGAAAGTGAAGAAGAACTAAAGAGCCTCTTGAAAGTGAAAGAGGAGAGTGAAAAAGTTGACTTAAAGTTCAACATTCAGAAAACTAAGATCATGGCATCTGGTGACATCACTTCATGGCAAATAGATGGGGAAACAATGGAAACAGTGACAGACTTTATTTATTTGGGCTCCAAAATCACTGCAGATGGTGACTGTAGCCTTGAAATTAAAAGACGCTTGGTCCTTTGAAGAAAAGCTGTGACCAACCTAGACAGCATATTAAAAAGCAGAGACATTACTTTGCCAACAAAGGTCCATCTAGTCAAGGCCATGGTTTTTCCAGTAGTCATGTATGGATGTGAGAGTTGAACTATAAAGAAAGCTGAGCACTGAAGAATTGATGCTTTTGAACTGTAGTATTGGAGAAGACTCTTGAGAGTCCCTTGGACTGCAAGGAGATCCAACCAGTCCATCCTAAAGGAAATCAGTCCTGAATATTCATTGGAAGGACTGATGCTGAAGCTATAATACTTTGGCCACCTGATGGGAAGAACTAACTCATTTGAAAAGACCCTGATGCTGGGAAAGATTGAAGGCAGGAGGAGAAGGCAACGACAGAGGCTGAGATGGTTGGATGGCATCACTGACTCAATGGCCATGAGTTTGGGTAAGCTCTGGGAGTTAGTGATGGACAGGGAAGCCTGGTATGCTGCAGTCCGTGGGATCGCAATGAGTCGGACACAGCTGAGTGAATGAACTGAACTGAGCTCTTCAGGCCAGCTGCCATCTCTGTGAAATGGTAGAAAGAGAGGATGAGAAAAATCAAGTGACTCTGACCATCATTATCCTTCAGGTCAGATAGCTCCTTTAAGTCTCAATTTCTTTATCTGAAAAATGAGAATCACGTTTATCCACTCTGCCTGCCAGGACTCTGGTGAGAATGTAGGCAGATGAACAATTACGAGGCCCAAGAACAATGATTGTTTGGACAGTATTTGGACCCACCCATCTCACTTGTCATAGACTAACCCTGTGAAGCAGGTTCTATTTTTGTGCCCTGTTTGGTGAGGAAACTGACTTGGAGAGGTAAGGTCACTTGTTCAAAGTTACAGGAAGTGGCAAAGTTGGATTCAAGCCCAGGTCTCCCAGTTACCAACACCGTGGGTCTTTACACAGCACCATTCTGATGTGTGGTTCAGGCCTGAGCAGGAGGAGGACCAGAAGGGCTCTGGGAGACTGGCCCATTGCACCCTTGGTTCTGCTGTTGTTTTTCCCAGGCACCGCCATCTGTGAGGAGTGGCTGCCCTCTGGTGTTCTCAATGTGACTTGTCCCGACAAGGACGAGAATTGGCAACTTGCCTGTCTCAGAAGTGGAGTGGGATGAGCTTGGAACTTGTCCTTTCAGAGTTTGGGGGTTCAGGAAAGTTAGTGCACACTCAATCTCACTAGACGTGAGGCTGTTCCACTGAGGGCGCTGGGTAGAAGCTTCGTTGATTTCTGCCTGCATCTGCCTCTCATCTGGTGTCATTTTACAGCTAAGTGGCCACATTCTGTTTTTGACTTGAGTGCTAGTTAGGATGGTGTTGCATTCTTCTTTAAACTCTGCATTAGTGTTTCATAGGCACTTCTGTATCTACACACACTAGAAAATAGAATTGTTGCCATCTTTGTGGGGCAGTTTTTATTCTGGGTCGATGAAAGTTTTGTCATTGGACTGGCATCAGATTGCAAAGTGGTGGGGGCCACACCACCCAAGGGCGTGTGCTTGACAGGGCTTTCTCACATGTTAGCTCATTGTATAGTCACCATAACTTTATGAAGAAGTTTTTTATGATCGTTTTACATATGAGGAGATAGGCTCAGGATCCACTTGGACTTCTTTGAAGCCTAAAAACTTTGGGAGATGCCACACTGCCTCCCTGTGGCAGCCTTGTGGGCTAATCGGCATGTCCAGTTGCCTGCCAAATGCAATCATGTGCTTCTTTCTTTGTGACTGAAGGTGCCTGACACAACCACTATGCTTCACCTTGGAGGGAGTATTCCATAACATCCTATTACTATAGCTACTCGGTCTTCCAAAGCTTTGCCTTCTATAGGCCATTAACTTTAGCCAATTACAGGTGATTTTTTTTTTCACTGGTAAATTCTATCATTTAATGGAGAATATTTACCAATTTTTCACAAAATCTCTCAAAAAATAAGAGAATATGGAACACTTTCGACCTCATTCTATGAGGCCAGTGTTACTCTTATACCATAGCCACACAGAAGACATCACAAAAACAGAAAACCTTAGGACAATATCCTTAATGAATATAAATGTAAAAAAGCCTTAACAGAATACCACCAAATTGTGTTCGGCTACATTTAAAAAGGCTTATACAACATGACCAAGTGAAGTTTATCCCAGGGATGGAAAGTGGGTTTAACACCCTGAAATTTATGTAATACACAACATTAGCAGAATAATGGACAAATACTACATAATCATCTAAGTAGAAATAGGGGGAAGAAAGCATATTTCAAAACCTTATACTTTTTCATGATAAAATCACTCAAAAAAAAAATCACTCAAAAAGCCAGAAATAGACAGGGACTTCCTTAATAAGACAAGGGCTAGCTACAAAAACATCCCCACAGTTAACATCATCCTTGATGTAAAAAACTGAATACCTTACAGATGATCATTTAAGTGACTACATGCCAAGGGCTAGTAGTAGCATCCCCTTTTCCAATATCAGTGAGGTCATTACTACTTTTGCATCCAAACAGATTGGAAAACAAATTCCAGAACTATTTGCAGCATTAAAGACTTTCAGAGTTTAGTTAGGAAGATAGAAGCAATTCTATGTATTCTGGGAATAAAGGCTTTAATACAGAATTAGGGGCTTACCCAACTGTGGAAACAGCCAGTCGAGCCGGGGGAGTGGAAATCAAGGAAACAATTGCTGAAGGTCAGAGAAGCTGACACCTCAGATCTCTTCTTCAAGCAGTGAATTGCATGGTTCTCAAAAGCTTGCCTAGAAACCTCTGCCGGTCTCAGAAACCTCAGGGAAGCTCCAGTCCTCTCAGTCTGCGGTGACAAAGGGGGCAGTTCTCAAGAGTTTATGTGAAGCTTTTGTGACACTCTTTTCTAGTCATATGTTTGGCTGCAATCACTAGAGAATAATGGTTTCTACTTTGCCTATACCTTCCAACTCTTGTGTGAATTCTCTTATTTGGCAAATTCTAACCTGGAACCATATAGGAAAGGGGATTCCAGGAAATACAGTTCCCAGTCATAGAGTGGTGTGGCTGCAACTGAATACAGATATGCACTCATGGCAAAGACAGAGGCACATGTTCACTCTTTTGCCTCTGGGCCAAGTTAATTGGCTCTGCTTTTCTCTGACTTAGTATATAGTCTGCAAGAATTTTGCAGAGTATCATGATGTTCACTATATTGTTGTTGTTGTTACTGTTGTTGTTGTTTCGTCTCTAAATCATGTCCAATTCCTTTGTGACCCCATGGAATGTAGCCCACCAGACTCCTCTGTCCATGGGATTTCCCAGGCAGGAATACTGGAGTGGGTTGCCACTTCCTTCTCCAGGGGATCTTCCTGACCCAGGGATCAAACCTGGGTCTTCTACATTTGCAGGCGAATTCTCTACCGCTGAGCACCAGGGAAGCCCTGTTCACTGTGTTAGTGGCCTTCTACTCATAGACCCATGAGCAAGAAATGTCAAGAAGTCTAGATATCCTCTAGATGGGAGATAAACTTCATGAAGGTTCAAGGGTCTGCTACTTGGTGAAGTTTTTTAGGAACCCTCTTATCTTAGAGCAGGAGTTGGCTAATTTTATCTTTAAAGGGATAGTTAATAAATATTTTAGTCCTTGCCAGACATAAGGTACCTATCGCCATACTCAGCTTTGCCACTATAGTGGGAAGTCAGCCACAGACAATAAGAAAACAAATGGATGTGGCTGTGTTCCAGTAGAACTTTATTTACAAAACTAGGAGGGGGATCATATTTGGCCTCGGACAGTTTTGGCCAACACCTATCCTAGAGGAGACATTCCTTCTAAGGGAAAGGACAAATTGTTGCTCCTCATACCTCTCACCGCTGAGAAAGGGGCACAACCCTTGGTTGTATTTTGACGGTATTAATAGCATTTATCACACTTGGGAATATTGCTTTGACCTTTATCAGGTGACTCAGAAGACTTCCAGTTTTGACTCCTCCTTGTGCTCAGTCATGCCTGACTCTTTGCAACCCTATGGACTATAGCCCACTAGGCTCTTCTGTCCATGGGATTTTCCAGGCAAGAATACTCAAGTGGGTTGCCATTTCCTTCTCCACTGGTTTGACTAGGATCATGTAAAAGAGGGTGTGGCAGCCGATCTAGGCTGTGATGCCAGCCGGTCTGGTGTGTTAGCCATTTGATCAGCAGATATGACAGTGCCCAAAGTGTCAATGGTGAGGGCCCTGTGCAGACTGCTAAATTCCAATGGACGATCTTGTACAAATTCCTAGGTTTTAAAGCAGGACTATGACTTCTGTGGTGGAGAGACACTCTCAATTTGAAAAATACTTCCTGGCCTGCTACTGGGCTCTGGTAGAGACAATGTTTAACCACAGGACACCAAGAAACAGTGTGATTGTAGCTGCCTATCATGAACTGATTTTACTGGATCATTACATATCCATTGAGTCATAAGACTGAGTGGGCACAGCAAGTCTGATGAAAATAATCATTTAGAAGTCATGAATAAATTAAAAGACAGATGTCCCAGACTCTCACATCACCCACCAATGCAGCTTATTCTATGGCATTGTGAAGGGGTTCCTATGACCAACTGATGGCAGATGAAAAGGCTTGGGCTGGTTCACTGATGGTTCAGTGTGATTTGCTGGTGCATGGTAGAAAAGGACTGCTCCTGATTACAAACCCTTTCAGGGATGGTCCTGAAAGACAAGAGTGAAGGCAAATGCTCTTGGTGGGTAGAGCTGAAAGTGGTACACTTGGCCGTGGATTTCCTATAGAGGGAGATGTAGCCCAAGATACCTTCACGTGCTAATTTCTGGGCCATGAGCAATGACTTGATCAATTGGTCAATGGCTAACAAGGAATAAGACTTAAAGTTTTGGGGAAGAGTTATGTGGATGTACTTCTGGGGTGAACATAAAGCATGCAGACCTCTGTGTCTTACATTCTTTCAGACAGCATCTACTTCAGAAGAGACTTAAAAACCACCATCACCACCATTCCCCCCACATCCCCTCCATCCTTGCCTCGCTCCTTGGCTATCCTAAAATTTGCCAGGTGAGCCCAAAGATGTTGGCCATGGTGGCATGGTTGAAAGTTTTGTGTGGGCTCAGCCTCATTGACTTCTCAACAAGGTTGACTTAATGCTTGTATTTCTAGCCTCAGAGAGTGATGCAGAGCCCTTGATATGGCATCATTCTCCAGAGAGACCTGCCACCTACCTGACGGCTGATTGACCACATTGGATATCTTATATCTTGGAGGAGGCAGCGATTTCCTTTTGCTAAAATCGATGATTTGATAGATTTGCATTCTCTGATTGCATAACCTTCACCAGTACTGTTATCTGATGTCTTACATCATGTTCATCTCTTACATACTGCCTCAGGTCAAGGACCCTGTTTTATAGCAAAGGAAAGTAGGTAATAAATTCATCACCACATGATCCATTGGTAAATATAACCCATCACCTAGGAGTAGACTGCCTGATATAACAGTGAAACAACTGAGTAAAAGTTCAGCTAAGGCATCAGCTTAGGGAAAATACCTTATAGGATTATAGTGCTGTTCTTTATATGTGGTATATGTGCTGAATCAATATATTGCTGCATCCTTAATAAGTAAAGTATGCTGGTCCATGAACAAAGGGGTAGAAGTTGAACTGGCTCTCTCATTATCAATCCTGGTGACCTGATTATGAAAATCTGTTTTTACCATTTCTGAAAAAAAAAGGGGGGGAGCACTTCCTCCAGGGGACACAGTAAAAATTTCATTGTATCTGAAGTTGTGTTTCCCACTTAGCAGTTTTAGCTCCTCATGCCAGTGGACCAGCAATAAAGAAAGAAGTTACCAAATAAGCAGTGGTAATTGACTTGATTAGCATTAGGGCTTGGAGTTGCTACTACACAATAAAGGTAGAAAGCAATATATCTGGAACTCAGGAGAATCATGGGACATCTCTTGGTGATTCAATGCCCAGTGATAACCATTAACGGTCAGTTGTAGCACCCATTACCTGAAAAAGTCACAGAAACTAAAGACTAACACCCTCTAAGAATGAAGCTCTGGGTCACCCCTCTAGGCAAGCAACCTAGACCAAAGTACTAGTTGAAAGTGAAAGAAATCCAATGAATGATGATGACTATCAACTAGCCTCAGGATCAGCTGCAGCTTTAACTGGGGACTGGATCTTGGTTTGCTAACCTTATGTAAATCATTGTGGGATATCACACCTAGCCATTGTCTTTTGAAAAAACTTGAAATATAATTCATTTACAAGGTTATTTTAGTTTCAGGGGTACCACATAGTATTCAATATTTTTGTGTGTTATGAAATGGCCACCACAGTAAGTTCATAATGTTCCGTGAGACAATAAGTGTTTCATGGGACAAATCTTGAATAATGAGAGACAGCAGGTCAATGTCTCCTCCTTCCTGTTTCAGGGTGTGGTGTTCTCGACAACCTGCTGGTAAGGTATTCCACATGACCAAGCAGTTGCCTATTCTTTCTGGGGAAAGTGTGACTGGTTTTGTAATACACCACCTTGTATATGCTTTCTTTTCTCCCCTGTTTTGTTTCCTCACATTTGCTGCCTGGGATTATACTTCCAAGGAAAGACTGATCAAGTAAACTTTGCCTCACATTCTGATTTGTAGGGGACCCAGGTTAAGACAAGTAGAACTTCAGTCAGAGTTCTCACCCAGGAAGGCTGGGTGAGAGTTTTTGTTTTTTCTATTTTAAAGATTTTTTTTTTTAATGGACCATTTTTTCAAGTCTTCATTGAATTTGTTACAATATTGCTTCTGTTATTTATATTCTGTTTTTTTGGCTGTGAGGCATGTGGGATCTTAGATCCCCAACCAGGGATCGAATCTGCACCTCCTGCTTTGGAAGGCAAAGTCTTAACCACTGGACTGTCATAGAAGTCCCGGTTTTCTGTGTTTTAAAGAAGGCTGTTGCAGAAAGCAACAGAAATGGCTTGAGTAACTATGACAAAAGTGAGGGAATATTTTCAAGGAATGCAATTCAAAGAAACAAAAGGCTGAACAAGCCATAGAGTGGATGGGACCCAGTGAAGATCTGTTGATCTATGTAGCAGAACTAATGGATGGTATCTGTGGCAGTTTTAAAAGATGCAGGCAAATTTTTTTGATACGTTTTTTTTGAAATTCTTGTATCCTGTGGGCTGTACTTAGCAATTTACATCTAATGAGTAAAATATGGCAGAAATAATGGTCTGTGGCTTCTGAATCTAGGCCATAGAAAGCACTGTGACTTTCACCTTGATTTCTCATTGATCACTTGATCTAGGGGAAGCCTGCAGCTGCCATGTCTTGAGGACTATCTAGCAGGCCCATGGAAAGGCCCTGGGTGGTGGGGTCCTTCCTGCCAACAGCCTTGTCAGTGGGCCATCCTGGGAGCAATTCCCCAGTCCAAGTCAAGCTTTCATATGACTGCAGCTTTGGCTGATATTTTGACTGCAACCCTGAGAGACCCTGAGCAGGAAGCACCAGCTAAGGACCTCTTGAATTCATGACTTATGTTAACTTCAAGGTTAATGTTTGTCATTTTAAGCCAGTGAGTTTTGGTGTAATTTGTTTTGCAGCAGTAGATAATGAATACAGTATCTTTAAGATAACTTCAGTGATAATTGATCTTGGTGAATATTATTAGTAACTACTAATAATAGTAATATTAATAGTAGTAGTAGTATCATAGTAATAGTAATCTTATTAGTAATATAATATTTTTATTATTAGTAGTATTATACTAATTATTATACTAATAATATAAT